TAGGAAAGCACAAAAATGAAGTTAAACAAATATTTTGCAGTGAATGTAATGGAAAATACTGGGCTCTTCTTACTTTACATGTCAATCACAGTTTGATATGTGTGCATAAATTTTAATTTTTAAGGTTTTAATAAATTTTTCTTTATGCATTCTTAATTTTTTAAAGTTTTATAGTATGTCCAACTATGATTTGGAGAGAAACGACCGACTTATTTGAGAGGAGTTGAGAAGTGTCCAAATGCAAAAATTATTATAGACACATACCACTCGTAAATACTCAGCTGGCCTAGTAATTAACCTGTAAAAATGGTATAGCCCCAAAATGTTTAATTAATTTGTTGGAAAGAAGGTTCTAAAATTGAAACAAACTAAACTATTTATAATTGTCTATATTAAATAATGTGAAATTGAAATGGCCTACTTTTATCTGTCAAGGAAATGAGACCAGTGTTGGTAAAATTGCAATTCCATTGGTTTCTTCCCATCTTTTGGTAGCAAGCATTCATGGCATCTGAGGAATGGAGCACTGGTGTATCTGGATAAAAGCAAAAGCCGCCTTTCACCGTTGGGCTCCAGTCTACGTAACTGCATGCATAATCCGCTGCTCAATGTAGGGTTTCTTGTTGTGCTGCAGGATTTGCCACACACCATGCAGATTAATTAAATTAAGGATTCTTTAGATATAGATCCTTGTAACTCTTATTTTCTAGACAAAAAATCACCTAGTTATAAACATTCAAATAAAATCCAAATTTAAAAATGACTGTCAAGTATAGAAGTAATTAACCTATTATTACAAAATATCTACAATATATACATATGTGCGTGTGTGTGCGTGTGTGTACATATATAGTTTACCTATATGAACGTATAGTAGTACTATATATATATATATATATATATATAGTTTACCTATATATAATACTACTATACGTTCACACACACACACACACACACACACACACACACATATATATATACATTGTAACATCCTACATCAACCAACGGAGAGAATGTGATGTGCCTTATATATACATACCCACTTCCCTATAACATGAGGCCTTTTGAGGTCTCACTGGCTTCAGATTCCATCGGAACTCCGAAGTTAAGCGAGTTCGGATGAGAGCAATCATAGGATGGGTGACCCACTAGGAAGTTCTCTAGAAACAAAACCATGAGGGCATGGCCCAAAGCGGATAATATCGTGACGACCAACACATCTCGACTCTAGTCAACATCCCACATCGACCAACGGAGAGGGCGTGATGTGCCTTATATGTACATGCCCACCTCCCTGAAGCACGAGGCATTTTGGGGACTCACTGGCTTCGGATTCCATCGAAACTTCGAAGTAATTAAGCGAGTTCGGGCAGTCCTAGGGTGAGTGATCCACTGGGAAGTTCTCGTGTGAATTCCTAGAAAGAAAACTGTGAGGGTGTGGCCCAAAGCGGACAATATCATGTTACGGCGGAGTCGAGATTCGGATGTGACAGAATGGTATTAAAGCTACTTTGTCGTTCGGTGCGAGTGTGCCAACGAGGATGTCAGGCCCCTAAGGGGGGTGGATTGTAACATCCCACATCGACCAACGGAGAAGGGGTGATGTGCCTTATATGTACATGCCCACCTCCCTATAGAACGAGGCCTTTTGGGGACTCACTGGTTTCGGATTCCATCGGAACTCCGAAGTTAAGCGAGTTCGAACTAGAGCAATCCTAGGATGAGTGACCCACTAGGAAGTTCTCGTATGAGTTCCCAGAAACAAAATCATGAAGGCGTGGCCCAAAACGGACAATATCGTGCTACGGCAGAGTCGAGATTGGGATGTGACATGCACAATACTACATATATAATCAAACATATTAAACTAATCAATCTACCTATATTTAAATTTATGATGAGAAAATAACATATATTTTGTAGTATCGCATCAAATAACATTCTTTTATTTTGTAGATAATTTATTTTCCATGTATTATTACATATATTTGGCATATTTTATTATTATAAGATATATATGTACAAATAGTAGGTAAATTAATCTTGAATAAAATACAATTGCTTTATTTTGTAAGTAAATTAATTTTGAATCAAATAACATATCTTCATTCTGTAGGTATTTTATTTTGTATGTATCATCATATATATTGGGCACATTTTATTATTATATGTACAAAATAATAGGTAAACTAGTATTGAATAAAATAATAACATTTTTTTTATGTAGGTATATTATTTTGCATATATTAGGTTTGCTTTATTATGTAGGTAAATTATTTTGCATGAATTTTTTTTTGTATATCAGGCATTTTTTGTTGTTGATATATATGTGTGTGTGAAATAATTTACCTACATTTATATGTAAAATATAATTTTATTGACTTAACTAAGCATGTATTACCACATTTATTAGGCATGTTTTATTGTTATTATATATTAGGGCAATGAATTTATTATTTTTTTATTTTTGTAAAATCATTAATTCTCCCTTACAATTTGTATGGAATTAATTGTGTAAATCAAATATAATTAATGAGTTTGCTGATATGGAATCTAGTCAATGAGTTTTATTTGAATAAAAAACTTATGTCGGGTTTTATGTAGAATAAATTAAATTTCAAGGGCTAAAGTCATATTTTCAATTAAATTAATCTAAGAATTTGTTGATTGTTATGAAAATATGGTTTTCATGCTGGCTTACCTGTGCATTCACCAGCATTGAAATCACTCATGCAAAAATACTGAAGTCATGGATTATATATAATTAGGCTATTTTGGCGAGAGAGGATTATAATTATTAGTTTGGCCAAAATACCTTTTTAGTCCCTTCACAAAGTTGCACTTTCGTCCTTTGATTTTCAGGTACATCCAATTTGGTATTCGTCAACTCCGTTAATTCTTTGTAGATCGGAGGTAATTTTGACGGATTTCATACAAGAAATCAACAGAAGTTGACGGATGTACTCAAACTGGAAAAAGGTTGGAGCATGGACCAAATTCATTGCAATTGAAAATACAGCGACGAAAATGTAGCTTTATGAAAATTATAGGAAAAGGGCAAAGTTTACAAATGTAAAATGCTGCGCAGAGTTATGAAAATAAAAAGGAAAAACTAGTTTTGCCGCTTAAGATCAAATGGAAGAATCTCGATCTTACCTGAGAAGAACAGAAGAAGAAGAGAAAAAATAGGACATGGCAGAGCTAACTCAGCCGTTTTTGCTGTACTATGTGAGCTAGTCTAACTCTGTGATGGAATTCATATAGAGGGGAGATGAGTTACTTGTATAAGTTACAACATGATGTGCTCCACTTAGTCCAGATTGCATGAAGTTTGGCATGACAGTGATTAATTTGAGGCCACCTGCAGCACAGTTTCATTGTTTTTTTTTTCTTGGTCATACAGCTGTTTTTATCGGTTACTAGATATTACAAGAACCAAAGGGTCCAATTTTTCATGAGGTTTTGCCCTTTTTTCTTTAAAACTAGTGCAATCATAGATAATGCTTAGGATTATATTGATACGTGAAATTAATTACTTGTTCAAGGCTTCAAGCTATCTCATTTATAAAGAGAATCTGAGCAGATTTGGAGAGTCGGTGGAAAGAGATGGGAAATAAGCATCCGAATTTGTGTTCCTTTTTAAGATAGCTAATTATAAGAGAGAATGTTTTGGAACTGTGGCATGTATACGGTTGGGATAGCCTGCATGCACTGCAACCAGTTGCAAGAACAGGTGGTTACGCCTCTGGTGATCACAGAGAAACAATAAAACTTTGAGTTGTTACTGTGATGATATGTGTGTGTGTGTGTGTGTATGATGTTATTTATAAATTGGAGGCCAACGGATGAGATGTTTGTTGGCGAAATGAATTTAAAGCAATGGATTGCAAATTCTTTAATTCGAGGTAATGCAGTAGTTGAAGTTGTGGATGCTGATTTACTTGGGACAGAACCGTGAGCAGGAGGGATTGCATATCATCCACCATAGGATTAGCTCTACCTTGTTCTGCAGAGTTGCTGGAGGAGAGGATTGACATGAAAGACGCTGGTAGCTGTTTTTCTATTGGCAAATTGACTGGTTTGGTTCTTCTAGTGATGAGGATGTTTGGAAAAAATGTACTCCTCTAGTCGTATAATCACTATTTGGCCCGTCAATATTGTTTGGTCAGGACAGTGCTTCTACCATTTGCATCCGAGTTTCAATCTCTTCTCGTAAATTAGATTACCTAGGACTATGACTTGTATAAAAAACAGTACATTTTGCAGCATGCAGGCTTAATTAACCTCCTTAACAAATCTTGAGGGAATCTCAATCTTCAATAATCCAACCATCACTTGCTTCAGCTAGGCTTAAATCCACCGTCCGTGACTGTATATGTACTTGTACTAGTCTTTTCAGCACACCAATTCACCAACCAATTAATAAAACGCAACTTCTAATTACTTTGGCTTTTATATGCTAGTTGTGCACAATGCGCACACGGTGTTTGGTCGAAACCGCGTTTGGCACGACACACTCAGAACCATAATCTGCTCAGTTTATAGAATTGGGAATTTAGACTCCCACTAGAGTCCCAATCACAAGAGGCCCTACAGTCTTGTATTCGAGTGCCAGAACGAAAGGGGAGTACTGTCAACCAGATTTGTCAAACTTAATTTGGTATGAAAGTTTCACATGTTTCCTTACTTGAAAGTTGAAACGAAGGAAATCATGAATTTAGAAAGTCGGTAAATTTTGGCCATGTTTACTCAGGTAATGAATTACAGTTTATATTGTAGAATCCATATACTTAATATTTCAAATATGTTGGTAAACACGTGGAGAGTCAAGAATCAAAATAATTATGACCCTCATGTGCTAGTAAATAGGTAATAATTCGAATGTTAATTCCAGAAAAGTAAACATGCGAAATATCTCAGATTTTGCGTGGTAGTGAGCTAGCCTTTCCGGATATATATACTTCCTGATAAGTAAACACGTGGGTAGGCAGCTAGCCTTTTCGGATTTATATACTTTCTTAGTGTACAAGTAGAGAGGCTGGTGGTAGGGTTTGGTCCAACTGGGTTGAGTTCAAACTTCAAAGTCAAATTGTACATTCTTTGCATGATTCAAAGAATCACAATCTTTTTGTCTTCCTTCCTTTGATCATATGTAGTTTAACAAAGTTCACTTAATTAATTGTGGGGGGCACTGATTAGTCGAAAAGCTTGTATATAAAAGGCATTATCCTCACTTGAAAGCTTATCTGCTACAAAAATGGTGTCTCAGAGGTTAAGTTTGGTCATAGTCTTACTCTGTTCTGCTCTACTTACTGTTCTTTCGGCTCAGCCAAGCTTGGAGGTTGAAGTTGAGGCCTTGCATGAATTCAAGAAATCCATCGATGCTGACCCCAATGGAGCACTTGCAGACTGGACAGATGCAAACCATCACTGCAATTGGTCTGGTGTTGCCTGTGGCCCTTCCACAAATCGTGTCATTTCGATTTCCATGTATGACAAGCAGCTCAGCGGTCAGATATCACCGTTCCTCGGAAACATCTCAGGCCTCCAGGTTCTTGATTTAACTTTAAATTCATTCACTGGACATATTCCAGCTGAGCTGGGGCTTTGCTCCCAACTCTCTGAACTTATTTTGTATCAAAATGCTCTTTTGGGTCCAATTCCGCCGGAGCTAGGCAACCTTGGAAGTCTTCAGGCATTAGATTTAGGTGATAACTCTTTAACTGGAAGCATCCCGGAGAGCATTTGCAACTGCAAAAACCTGTCACAGTTTGGTGCCAATTCTAATAATCTCACCGGAAAAATCCCATCAAACATAGGAAATCTTGTTAATCTTCAGTTCTTCGCGGTGTATCACAACAACTTGGTAGGCTCAATACCTGCTTCCATTGGTAGGTTGAGAGTTTTGAAAGCTCTAGATTTAAGTCAAAACCAGTTGTCAGGTGTAATGCCCAGAGAGCTAGGGAATATGTCAAATTTAGAAATGCTTCTCTTGCTTGAGAATTCCTTTTTCGGGAATATCCCTAGTGAACTAGGTCGTTGTAAGAAGCTTGTTAATCTTGAACTCTATGAGAATCAGTTCACCGGAGGCATTCCTTTTGAACTTGGAGATTTGCTCAACTTAGAAACATTGAGATTGTACAACAATAGGCTAAATTCCACAATCCCACTTTCCATTTTTCAGTTGACGTCCTTAACCCATTTAGGACTTTCACAGAATGAGTTAACCGGAACAATACCAGCCGAGATTGAATCTTTAAGATCATTGCAAGTACTGACCCTGCATTCCAACAAGTTCACCGGTGAGATCCCTTCATCCTTGACAAGCCTGACAAATCTAACATATTTGTCAATGGGCATCAATTTCCTAACCGGGGAGCTTCCATCAAATATCGGGTTGCTTTATAATCTGAAAAACCTGACCATGAACAGCAACTTTCTTGAGGGATCCATTCCATCAAGTATCACCAATTGTACACATCTTTTAGTTATAAGCTTAGCTTACAACAGAATAACAGGAAAATTCCACAGGGGCTGGGGCAGTTACCAAATCTTACTTTCCTTTCGTTTGGATCAAATAAACTGTATGGAGAAATCCCAGATGACCTCTTCAATTGTACAAGCCTAAAAACTCTAGATTTGGCCATGAACAACTTTAGCGGTTTGCTGAAGCCAGGAATTGGAAAACTCTCAAATCTCAGGCTTATTTAATGCCGTCTCAAATTCATTTGTCGGGCCAATTCCACCAGAAATTGGCCAATTAAGCCAACTTATCCTCCTTTCACTTGCTGAGAATAGCTTTTCGGGTCCAGTTCCACCACAGTTATCTAAGCTCTCTCAGCTCCAAGGCCTTTCCCTGCACGACAATGCTTTAGAAGGAGCCATACCTGAGGAAATTTTTAAACTGAAACAGCTAACCAATCTTCAGTTGCAACACAATAAACTGATGGGTCCAATTCCAGATTCTGTGTCAAAACTTGAGTTGCTTTCATACTTAAACCTCGGGCATAATATGCTCAATGGTTCCATTCCAAAAAGCATGGCTCACCTTAATCGGCTGACAACCCTGGATCTCTCTCACAACCGTCTCTCGGGATCCATTCCTGGATCAGCGGTCTCAAGCATGAGAAGCATGCAGATATATCTGAACTTCTCATACAATTTCTTGGATGGCACCATTCCGGATGAGCTTGGTAAGTTGGAAATGGTACAAGCCATTGACATTTCCAACAATAATCTCTCTGGAATCATTCCCAGAACAATAGAAGGCTGCAAGAACTTGTTCTCTTTTGATCTATCGGCGAACAAACTTTCTGGTTCAATTCCAGTTGAGGCTTTTGCTCAGATGGACATCCTCACAAGCTTGAATCTTTCAAGGAACAACTTAGATGGTGAAATCCCGGAAAAGTTATCAAATCTGAAGCATCTTAGTTCCCTTGACCTTTCTCAAAATTATCTGAGGGGCATTATCCCTGAGAACTTTGCCAATCTTTCCAGCTTGAAGCACTTAAATGTCTCTTTCAATCGACTTCAAGGCCATGTTCCAGACAGTGGAATATTCAAAAAAATGAATGTGTCCAGCTTGATGGGGAACCCAGATCTCTGTGGTAACAAATTTCTCAAGATATGCAAGAAAAGTTCACACCGGCTGTCCAAGAAAACCAAGTTTATCCTGTTGGTGCTTGGATCTGCTTCTCTACTTCTGGTTCTAGTGCTCAGTATTCACATCCTCCGCCGCTTCACCAACTCACGTAGACCAGAAAAGCTTGAGGATCCAGAATATGAGTATGCTTCAGCATTGACCCTCAAGAGGTTTGATCAAAAGGATTTAGAAAATGCCACCGGTTCCTTCAGCAAAGATAATATTATAGGTGCAAGCAATTTGAGCACTGTGTACAAGGGTGAACTAGAAGATGGGCAGATGGTAGCCATAAAGAGATTGAATCTGCAGTACCAGTTCTCTGTCGAGTCTGATAAATGCTTCAATAGAGAAATCAAGACACTGTCCCAACTACGGCATAGGAATTTGGTGAAGGTACTCGGTTATGCATGGGAGAGCATGAAGTTAAAGGCCTTGGTCCTGACGTACATGAAGAACGGGAACCTGGACAGCATTATACATGAAGATGAGTTGAATAATTGGAAATGCACATTATCTGAGAGAACCAACATTTTGATTTCGATAGCAAGCGGACTGGATTACCTGCATTCGGGTTATGATTTTCCGATTGTTCATTGTGACTTGAAGCCTTCTAACATATTGTTGGATGATGACTGGGTGGCCCATGTGAGTGATTTCGGGACGGCTAGAATGTTGGGTGTTCATCTCCAGGACGGGAGTAGCCTTTCCTCAGCATCAGCTTCCAAGGAACAATTGGCTACCTGGCACCAGGTGACCTTTTTTAGTCTTGCCCTAAATTCCAACCTTAAACAATGAAAGTTATAACTCATCTCCATTGCTTATATTTTATATGCTGATAGTGTTCATGCAAATATGCAGTCAATCGGTTGGAAACAACTTACACCAGACTTTTCTTTTCAATTTCTGAAACTAATATTCAAAGCAAATACATTCATCTCTCTTTCTCCTTTTTTTAGTCTTGCTCTAAATTCCAACTTTAATATGTCTCAAAATACAATGTTATCGCTTTCCATGGTACTCACCGGCTTAAAACATGCATCTGCAGAATTTGCATATATGAGGAAAATCACAACTAAGGTCGACTTATTCAGCTTTGGTATAATAGTGATGGAGCTGCTGACAAAGAAAAGACCAACAGGACTTATGGAAGAGAATGGGCTGCCAGTGAGCTTGTCTCAACTTGTGGAGAAAGCCGTTGCAAATGGAAGAAGGACACTTCTTCAAGTTCTGGACCCTATGCTAGCTTCAAATATCTCAACGGAAGGGGAGAAAATTGCAGAAGAGCTACTTAAGATAGCCTTGCTTTGCACCAACCCGGATCCTGACAACCGACCTAACATGAATGAGGTGTTGACCGCCCTTCTGAAGCTGAAAAGGGAAGCATAGTACAACCACCATGGTGATTACATTTCACAGTTCAATAAATGTTGAATCAGTTTCAGCGATGGAAGATAGGAAGAATAACGTTGTCTCATCGTGCAATAGTTTTTGTGCAATGAAACATATAAATTTCTTATATGTTCCACAGATATATTCAAGTTTCACAATGTTTTGTAGAATCGAACTCTGATGTATTAAATTCCATTTGAAGTATGGCAGTCACTTGGATGCCAAAAGAACATTTGCCAATAAAAATTGGGTTGAAAGATTGAAAAACAACCGAATTTGATGAAGAAAGATTGGATCTTTCACTTAATTGTTGCATAAACCATAAAATTATGAATACATGTAAACAACAGTTAGGAAAAACGAATTACATTACTTTATGCTAAGAAATTTAGATTTATGCAGAAATTTTTACAGTTAAAGACAGAGAGTAAAGTTTCGGTGCCTTGATCAATCTGTTGGGGGAGGATCTTTGACCAAAAAATCCCCAACAGTCGAAGGGAATTCCAAGCCTCCAAAACCATGATCAGCACCATCAGAAACAAAAGCAGCTTTTCCCAAAAGCAAATGTGCCAACCTGAAAGGTTCAATACTCCCCTCCCCACCACCATTCATAAAGCACTTAATCCAACCCTCCAACCTTTCCATTTCTTTCCCACACTTCGGCCCCTTCACCCCGACAATCTTCTCATAAAACCCGCCTTGACAACGACAAGAACCACCACCAATGCCGCTACCACCACCACAACAATCACCCCTTTCTTCCTCTCCTCCTTCACAATTAGACAAACCCAAGAGTTCAATTAACTCTCCAATATCGCCGGTTGCATAATTTTCGGTGTCATTGATGGTTTCGGGTTGATGCAGGGCACTCGTTTGAGGTGGGTTTTGTTGGGTTGGTGGGAAAAGTAGGGAGCATGAGAGGAATGCTTCTGGAGGTTCACCACTCTCTTGCAATGCGTTTAAGCTCTGATTGTTGTTGTTATTGGACTGGTGAAAGGGGAGATATAATGGTGAGCTTAGTGATTCCTCTTCTGTTAAAAGCTTGTTGCTTTGTAACAATGGTGATGGTGAAATACTGGATTTTTTTTCTAGGTTCTCTAATTTCAGTCTCTTCTCAACCTATGGAATTAAATACCAAGAAAAGAAAAAAAAATTCAAGACCAAGAAACACACTAAACTAAATCCATAAATTAATTTAAAAAAATTTGGAAACAGAGAAATAGATGAACCTGTTTCAGGGAGGAGAAGAAATTGGAGTGCAGAGACGCTGGTGACCGTCCATCTTTCATGTTTGACTTGTGTTTCAGAGGGTTCACACTTGATAGCTTATATAGTACCGATAAATAAAAAAAAAATGAGTTCTAATGAAAAGCCCACGATACTGTTTACTAACGAAAAATTATATTTTTACACTAAAAAGTCAAACCTAATACTATTCACTTTACCCTTTATTTTGTTCTTATCATTAAAACTCAAAGTTTTCAAACATTTTTTTATTAGTTTTCCTTAAAATAAAAAAATAAAAAAAATTGCTAGGCAGCCTAAAATTTGTAAATTACCTTTGTATCATCTCTCAAATACAACAGGTGGCAAGTCACGGTTATCCACCCCTTCTAGAGGTCAAAAATACTCACAGAGGCATTTCATTGTCCTCCTGCCCACAAGTCTGACTTCCACACCAGCAGCAGGTTTCGAAAATTTTTAGGGTGTCAAGAACACGAGCAGAAATTCGAAGTGTTATAGTACAATTGATTAATTTTTTTTTTTTTTTTAAGTTTCTATAACCAATTATAAAGTCACTTTGTATTGTGAGCTGTATTCCTAGCACATTAAAAAATATCTTCCTATTTAATGTAGTTTAGAAAATATAGTCTTCCTGACAATATCCATAGAAAAAATGTAATCGCAACTAATTAAATGGTAATGTTAGGGAGGTAGACAAAATTTTAAAATTAAAGGACATAGAAGTTAATAATTAGTTTATTACTTAGCTGTTGCTAAATATATTCATTCTTATTGGTGACACATCATTTAATTTGCAAATTTTGTTTACAAATTTAGTCTCCTTAACATTATCCTCCTTTTAATGTACCTCTGCTCCAAATCACTTAACAATAACAGTACAGTAAGATTTTTTTTCCAAGAGGATATTTTAACTTTTTTTTTCATTTTTAGAACGACGGTAGCATTAGTGAATTAGATAATAAATTGTTAAGATAATGAAAATCAGTGGAATCAAACTCACACTATAATGCATAAACGTAATTGCAGAATGCGTTATCTTAAACTACATTAATCCAGGTGGAGACAAGAGTAAGGAGCAAGTTACATTGTACTAGCCAACTAGTAACTTAAACCGCATTTGCTCGAATGTTGTAACTTAAATTAGTTTAGAATATCCTCCAAATAAACAAATGGCAGATAAATTGACAAATGTTGAAACAAATTAGAAATTTACTCCATTCAAAATTCAGCATCACATAAATAGATAATTCACATTTTTATGCACTAGGGTTCGCCCAACAATCTACAACATGAACAAATTTTCCCCACTCAAATCCACACTCAATTAAAGGGATTCACAACATTTCTTCAACACTTCTCATACTCTCAATCACTTTCCGGGTACAAAGTTTGTGGCGTAGTTCCAGGCATTGTTGGCAACTGGGTCTGCAAGGTGGTCGGCAAGATTCTCCAATGGTCCCTTTCCGGTGACGATGGCCTGGACAAAGAATCCGAACATGGAGAACATGGCCAACCTTCCATTCTTGAGCTCCTTCACCTTGAGCTCGGCAAAGGCTTCTGGGTCGTCAGCAAGGCCCAAGGGGTCGAAGCTTCCGCCGGGGTAAATGGGGTCGGTCACCTCTCCGAGGGGTCCGCCGGCGATTCTGTATCCCTCAACTGCTCCCATCAACACAACTTGGGTAGCCCAGATGGCCAAGATGCTCTGTGCATGGACCAAGCTAGGGTTTCCCAAGTAGTCGAGACCGCCCTCGCTGAAGATCTGGGCTCCGGCCTTGAACCACACAGCCTCACCGAACTTGACACCGTTGCGGGACAAGAGCTCGGGGAAAACGCATCCAAGAGCTCCGAGCATGGCCCATCTGGAGTGGATCACCTCAAGCTCACGGTTCTTGGCGAAGGTCTCTGGGTCGGCTGAGAGTCCAGCGGTGTCCCAGCCGTAGTCACCGGGGAACTCGCCCTTGAGGTAGCTTGGGGGCTCACCGGAGAATGGGCCCAAGTATTTGACTCTGTCAGGGCCGTACCAAGGGCTGCCAGAGGAAACTTGTTTGGTAGCAGTTTTCCTCATGGAAACTCTTCCGTTTCCGAAAAGCTCAGTGGCTCCCGGGGAAAGTTGCACGGCTTTGCCGGCGAAGGTTGGGGAGGAGAGAGCCATTGTGGAAGCAGCCATGGTTGAGAGAGAAAATTGAGGCTTGATCGATGGTTGAAGTTTGAGAGTGGTGATTGATGGTTGGTGAAGTTAATTTGGTACGTATTTATGGTGCGTTTCCTATCGAAGCCATTTATCTTATGCTATCTAAAGCTTTAATCTCATTGGACTGCCAAGATTTTTCTCTTGTTTTCGTTTGCCACATGTCTGTCTCTGTAATCCACCACGTCCTCAAATTCAATCCCTGGCTTATAACCAATGTGCCACTGACACTCTCTCGAACAATCTTGAAAAAAATCTGGAAGCTGGTACGTTGGAGAAATTTTTTACTTTCCGAAACACGGACGGGTAGTATATTATGCGTTATATATAATGAAAAGTTGCACTTTTAAATTCTTAATTTTTTATATAAATATTTAATTATTTGTATAAAAACACGTAGTTTACTAACTCATGTTTCGATCACATTGAAAAAAAATTTGATACATTGATGCATTCGATAAGATATAGTATGAATTATGGTAAAATAAAATTGTAAAAAAAAGTAAATAATATCGCTAGAGTGTTACAGATGGGCGTCGTTAGAATGCCTTATCAACGTCTGTCGAATATGTTAGGGTTAATTATATGGTTAATAATTTTCATCCTTCAGAAAAAGGTTAATGAAAAATCGAGTGGTAGGCAGAGGGTGTGAGAGAAAAATATCTCTGCAGAAGAAGAAAAAATCTTTGTGATAATCTTGGTCCACTTCCCAACTTATTTTCACGAACCGGATTAAACTTTGGATGCAGGCATTATACCAAAACTAACGGTATTTTTTTTGAGAGTCTGGTCGGTCAGTATTCATTTAATATTATTGATATTGTCTTAGTTTAATCACCTATTATTAGGTATAAGTTTTATCACAAATGACTTCGTTGATATTACAAGTGAAAATATCATATATGTTTATATAGTATTTTATCTAATATGAGTCTATGACCGATGGATGTGAGATCTTATTTTGAAAAAAAATACATACAATGTGAAGTTGTCTCCTATTAAAGTACGAAACATGATTTCAGAACAAAGGGTTATCGTGAAAATTCTGCAGCTGGCTGTAGAAACATATAATTTGACTAGTTTTTATTTTTTATTTTCTTATTAATTTGGCTAGTTGATTGGCAGCCATTGGAAGTGGCTTCATTCATGAAATTCATGGCTAGCAATGCAGCAATATTCTGAGAGGTCCAGAATTTGGAAACACGTAGGTGTACATTTGCATGGTAGAATTAGGGTTTGGTCCTACAGAGGAAATCCTCTACCATCTCCAAGCACAGAAAGCCTATCCAATTGGAACAATTGGCAATGTTGGATTGGACAAACTAGTGGTGCCCATGCATTATTGTCTTTAGATTTTTCAAACACTGGACAGAGATCCACTACGAATCAATCAGCTAATTTAGACCATTCAAATTGAATCTGACGGTTTTATTAACTTCTTCTGCTGGCCTACCTCGTCACATAAATCAAGGACTTCGATTCCTCATTCGCACAAACTAAAACTCAAATTTCCGGTCACTAAGGTCTCAAATTCCAAACTGTATAATCCAACGACTGTTGGTACTGGTGGTAGAGGGTGCCAACTAGACAAGGAAAATCGACCATCAAAATCTCACAACCAATGAGAATTAAGATGTTGATTTTCTAGGATAAGGGCACTGATCTATATAGGCCATGAAGTCAGTCACAACCACCCATCATCCTCTCTTCCCTCAACTGTTTTTTCCTTCTACTTGAATCACATTAGTTTTGCAATGGCTGCTTCCATGGCTCTCTCTTCACCAACCTTCGCCGGCAAAGCCGTACAACTTTCCCCTGGAGCCACCGAGCTTTTCGGAAACGGAAGAGTGTCCATGAGGAAAACTGCTACCAAACAAGTTTCCTCTGGCAGCCCTTGGTATGGCCCTGACAGAGTCAAATACTTGGGCCCATTCTCCGGTGAACCCCCAAGCTACCTCAAGGGCGAGTTCCCCGGTGACTACGGCTGGGACACCGCTGGACTCTCAGCTGACCCAGAGACCTTCGCCAAGAACCGTGAGCTCGAAGTGATCCACTCCAGATGGGCCATGCTCGGAGCTCTTGGATGCGTTTTCCCCGAGCTCTTGTCCCGCAACGGTGTCAAGTTCGGCGAGGCTGTGTGGTTCAAGGCCGGAGCCCAGATCTTCAGCGAGGGCGGTCTCGACTACTTGGGAAACCCTAGCTTGGTCCATGCACAGAGCATCTTGGCCATCTGGGCTACCCAAGTTGTGTTGATGGGAGCAGTTGAGGGATACAGAATTGCCGGCGGACCCCTCGGAGAGGTGACCGACCCCCTTTACCCCGGCGGAAGCTTCGACCCCTTGGGCCTTGCTGACGACCCAGAAGCCTTTGCCGAGCTCAAGGTGAAGGAGCTCAAGAATGGAAGGTTGGCCATGTTCTCCATGTTCGGATTCTTTGTCCAGGCCATCGTCACCGGAAAGGGACCTTTGGAGAACCTTGCCGACCACCTCGCCGACCCAGTCGCCAACAATGCCTGGAACTACGCCACAAACTTTGTTCCCGGAAAGTGAGAGCTCAGGAGTTGTTTTGTACTTTTGTTTGTATTGTTGTCGGTGATGTAAATTTGGTACCAAGTAATATGGACAACAATAATTTGAACTATGTGCTACAATATGTGTCTGAAATTAAGAGATTACATGGTTCAGATCCACCTAAAATCTTTCCTCCAAACTGGAATTTTTTATTTCAAAAAACCTCGATAGAACTCAATCTATTCCTTTATTGGAACAACGATTTTTCTTGAGCATATACAAATACAAACATTTAGTATTGACACATATTAGTTCGAGTGTTAATCTCACCCGTGTAAGTTTATCTTATACTACTGGTTTGAAATCCAAATAATGAAGAAGGGAAAGTGCATAAGATAGATGACAACCAACACTTTGTTCTTCATGTCAAATCCTTAAAATGTGAATCGTAAATGAACATGCCAGTTTGAGTGTTGAATTTAATTCAAACAGATTAAACTGAGTGACAAATGACAGTTGATCAAATATGTGCCGGCAGGATCCGAATAAAAAGTTTACGTGCAGTGCGAGCTCGGTTATTTTAATTTGCTACTACGAAGGAAAAAGATACAACAATTACGAGAATAAAAGATTGAAGCATTCAAACGACAATTAGTATTGCTCAAAATTGAGATGATTTTGAACATTTATTTGTTTCATCTCTCTTCTATATTTTGCGTATAGAAAATGACCTAAAAGGTATACAACCAACGACGGCAACAACAAAGCTTTATCCCACTAAGCGGCGTATACAGATGGGTTTTGTAATTATAGTAAGAACCTAGTCATTAGCACACAACAACTACAGCTGGTTTTATGAACAAATAAATGGCGATCGAATGTAAAAAAATGAACATTTGGACGAATTGAAGGCGCAGCGACTCTGTCGCTTCCAGCATTGAAGCATAACCCTTGCAGAACTTGAACATATTCGATCTCAAGCTTCTGTTGTGCTCGCTGGTCAGATTACTTGCATTCACAACATGCATCCATATATTGAGCTTATCAGTCTGAGCTCCAACTTGTCAGAGACGAAGTCACATTTGTTTTGCTAAATAAAGCGTCGACATGTCTGGTTTAGCGAGGTATCGCAAAGCTCAAGTGCGAGCGGCTGCCCTTGCTCTGGCCAGAGACTTGGAGTAGAGTTCTTCGTATTGTGATGCAGAAGTATCCCAACTGAAATCTATATTCATGACCTTCTGAACAAGCTGCTGCCAACTATCAGGGTTATTCATGTAGAGGTTGAATGCACGTTCCATAGCGCCGTTTAATCCCTGTCGGCATTTCCAAGTCAGGATACAGCTAATCATGGACAGGGAAAACTAAACTACTGAAGTGGAGAAAAATCACGAGAATAACGGAGACAGATGATGCAAGGATGTCCTATCAAATTCCAAGCCTTGGGAACCACCGATAAAAAAGAAGAATGAAGAAAAGAAAAGCAAGAATGTGTAAGTGTGTGAGATTTACCTGTTCGTCAGGAGTCAAGAATGAATATCCATTCCGAAACTGAAGAGGTACGGTGTCATCATCAACGTCAAAGACACTGCAGACAAAGTATATAAGGAATTAAGTTTACTCTTCAAGGAATAACATAAATCGCTAGTAGAAGATATAGGCATTGGATACCCACCTATCATTTAGACCACCAGTTTTTCTTGCAATGGGTATAGAACCGTATCTCATGGCTATCATCTGCCCAAGAAAAATAAGACGTTAATCCAGCAATACATAGTGACTAGTGTGCTGAAGTTTTGCACGGGTAAGAGAAGAGACTTTACCTGTGTAAGTCCACAAGGCTCAAAGATAGACGGGATGATGAACATATCAGAAGCAGCGTAAATGGTATGGGAAAGAGAATCATCATACTTCAAAATCAACCGAATATGATCATGATTCGCAAAATGACTTGCAATACCCTCAAATTCCCTCTACAGTAGAAAACATGGCAAGAAACCTTTCAGTTAACGGTTCTACTAATAAGTATTTACAACCACTTGTTAATCAAATAAGCCCAACAAACACACCACAAAGAACTCAACACGCGATATTAAATTGGACTTGAACCCAGAATCTTAGTAATATATTCGATTAGAGAATAGGTATAATGTTTGATAATCCATTCATCTTAACAATATATTTATATGATAAGAGACTGCCCAGACATCATAAAAGTCTAACAGTAACGAACATAGCCAGGATATAATATCAAAGCGGAAGATAGAGCAGTGCCTGAATATGATGCACTGGGCTAGAACCCAAAAGAACAAACTGTCCTCCGAGCTCCAATGTTCGATATATCGCATGTCTGATAAGATGCACACCTTTCTGTGGCACCAATCTTGTTATGCAGCCCACCTATTCAAGGAGTGATCAAACAGTTTCAACTAAGGACTAAAGTTGCTTGACCAATCACTCATCTGGCTTACCGCTTACCGAAAATAGAATATGATGCCATTTTATGGAGTGCCAAATATGACTCCCTGTGAAAATCAAATTTAATAGAAAATCAAATTACCAATGGCCTCTTGACATCTGCCGAAGAAAGCCCCAGATTTCTTCTTAATGCTTCCTTATTTTCTGCTTTCCCCTGACGATCATTAGCACTGTACTGTACTTTGAGATATGCATCAGTGGCAGGATTCCATGCATCTGCGTCAATACCATTTAGAATTCCAACGAACTTCTTAGAATGGAAGTTTAGTGTTGAATGGAGACCATGTCCTCCCTGTGATCATAAATAAACAACTATTTTTATACAAATGGAAGTTCAAGAATATCCAATAACATGGAAGCATGAAATGATACATCAGGCAAACCATATGACTGACACAAAAATTCGACAAATTGGCTAACTTCACAAGACTTTTCACCCATGGCATCTTAATCAATTTCAAGGCGGTCTACCGTCAAGTTATCTTGACTTTGTCATTAAAGTTCAAAACAGAGACCATGATGTATTTTTGCATGAGTAGGGAAGAGAAATGTTGTTCTCTTTTCTCATCTGTGAAGGGTACTTATGCCCAAAAACAGAATAAAAGTGGGATATTGAGTGTTCAACAAGAAGAACCTACTGATTAGTAGCCACATAATTTACTAGAGTCCAACACCTGATGACTTCTATATCAAAGCTCTCATAGAAAAGCACATTTTTGAAAGTTTTTCTTTCATCTTAAAGAGGCCAACATCATCTCAACACAAATCCATAAACAAAATCATACTCAGATGTTATTCCTAACGTGTCTGTAATCTGGATTACTACTTATACAAGAGAGATATATTTAGACAATTTATGACAGAAATTAACATTTGGTGAAAATAATTAGATTCTCCAAAATCAAATGTTAAAGGAAAACAACGTCTCTAGGCTGGTACAGGGCAAGCAATTTGAATTTGAATCTGATATCTATAGGAACTCGTAAGTATGAGCAAAAGCCATACCTCAGCAGTCCGCACCTCTTGCGCATAGGTGGGTGATACTGTTGTCACAATATTAGAGAATACAACTGCACCCTTAAAGAGGAAAAACAAAAATGAAAATCGAATCAGGAAGGGTTTTACTGACTCCTGAAAGATGCTGGTAATAGATGAATCAACAATTGCTATACCTTAACAGCATTGATCCTATCGTGTGCTGAGTTGTCCTGCATTCTATCTGGTCGATTTAGCTGGTGGACATCAAGACCACAAGATGCCAATTCTGAAGCACGCGCAGTCCCTTGGTATTCAAAGTTGTGGCATGTAAAACATATTCTACCTGAGTTCAATCCCTTTGGAGCATATAGATCCCAGTAAAGTGGTGCCTAAGCACAGCAACAAGTCAGTCACTGAGAGAACTAAGGTGGTCAAAGACAGCATGGTAAGAAAAATGAAGGGTTTAACGGTCCATACAACAAAAGCTGTCTGCCAATCATGGCAATGAATTATGTCTGGTTTCTTGCCAGATTGAAGAAGCAACTCAAGGGCTGCACGACTGAAAAAGGAAAATCGCTTGAAATCATCACGTTCCCCATAAAATTGTCCTCTCCAGAAGAACTTGTCAGGATGAAGAGGCTCAATAAAATAAACTGGAAGACCTGCATAATCAACACTAGAGTGAGCATCCAAGACTACAGTGAGAATCCAAGACAAAAAAAGTCATGCAAACAGAAACTTTCAATGTACGAACCTTCTACAGTGCCAACCCAGACTTTATTTTTGAATAGTCGACCATCAAAGTATGACTCCAGCACCACATCTACGGCCTGCATGTTAATGTGTAATGAGACTCAAGTAGAAAAACATCTTTTCTAAGATTCATTAAGTATTCAGTTTACCATTAGGTCAGGAACATGATCGTACTGCATGCAGTCATATTTGGGAAGTATAATTTCCACAAGGTGTCCCTTCTTCTGCAGTGCTTTACCAAGACCAGCCACAACATCCCCCAAACCACCAACCTGTAAAATTAACTAGTTATGTTGATGGTATGTTTATCAAACCAAATGAAAGATCATTGAGTTGTCCCTATACATTTACACAAATGTTAATGCTTAACAAATTCCTGAATCTGAACTGCTGTAATAAAAGTTATTGTAGCTTGACAAGTAATAGAATAAAGCAAAGAAAGATACAAATGTATAAAGGCAAGCTAATCTCACCTTAGCAACTGGTGCCATCTCTGCTGCAATATGAACGACATGCAATCCTGGACTAAAAATCAACAAGGTCGCAGATTAAATAGAAGCTTAAATATGTAACCCCTTCATTCTTCTAATACTAGAACGGTCATACCTTGTTTGTGATGATGTCAGTTTGAGAAATGTAAACACAGCGTCATTCACGTTCTTTTCCTTGCATGCCATGTATGAGTCACGAATTCGTCGATCTCTCTTCCAGACCATTTCTCTCAACACCTTGGCATCATCCATTGATATTTTTTTCTCAAACAACCAACCATCGATCATAAGCAATAAACGACTCCAAAATTCCCACGGCATATCATCCACAGGTTCATCAACTGCCCTTCTCTTGCTTTCTTCTTTTAGAGTATTTAGTGTATCTTGAAATTCCTCCACAGATTCTTGATATAATTGAACATAGGAATGTATCTCTTCATCAGATCTTTGAAGCCGGTCCTCCATAAGTTTTATCTTCTGCTGCATTAGCTCATTATATTGTTGCATCTTTTCTGATGACTCTTTATAGATAGTAGCTGTTTCAAGAGATTCTTCTAATTTATCAACTTTCTTTCGAATCTCCTGGTTCTGCTGTAACACGGTAATAGCTTGATCTGCCTGTTTGGTTGACTTGTCTAGCAGTAGCTGCAAACTCTCCACCTTCTCCCATAATCCTTTGCATTCGACTTTAAGATTGGATAGTTTGGAAACATCTTCCTGAGAAACTGACAATTTCAATTCCAACTCTTTCAAGGCAGACTCTAAAGTCGACCGTTGTTTTTCCAGCATTACCACTCGTTCATCCGTATTCTTCACACAGCTAAGCTCCTCCCTAAGTGCTTCTACATCATTCCTGAGGGATTGATTTTCTAATCTCAATGCATTCAGATTGGTAACAAGAGCATTGATGCTAGTTCTGTATGGTACAGGAGCTTCTTCATTAAACAGCTCGTCTTCATTCTCAAAAATCTCCACCTGACCTCTTTCGACACCACCACCAGTATTAAGATTCAGATCACTCCGCATATTATCTAATTGGTTTTCTAGAAGTTCCACCTTTATTTTTTCCTGGGCAGCTACTCTAATCCGTGCATCGGTCTCTGCCAATCTCATTTCCAAAGCATTCATCTCTCCTTGCAATGCCTCCTTCTCACCAAGAATCCTGTCAAGGTCTTCAAGCGCATTAACCCGCGCTTGGTTGAGAATATGGATATCTAAGGAAACAAAGATATATACACATTTCACAAATCTAATAGAAGAGGCATAAACAGTAAGACCTGTTTGGGAATGCTTCTAAAGACTAAAAGCGCTTCTGATCACATTTGAAAAAAATAAATAAAATAAAACTTAGGAGCACTTTTACATAAGTCAACTGCTTTCTTAACTGCATTTAAAAAATCATTTGAATTTGTAATAGAAATTTCGAAGTTTTCTAATAAAGGTGCTAGAAATTTCGAAGTTTTCTAATAAAGGTGCTAGAAGTGCTTATGCCTGGAAGTGCTTCTAACAAAAGCAGTCCCAAACGGACCATAAATGAAACCAAATGAACAGGGAAGAGTAATATCATACTTTTCTCTGCATTTCTAATCATGCCAACCAAATCCTGTGTACTATACGCCTGTAAAGCCAACGAGTAATCAAATTTATGAAAATTGAACAAATATGTATGTATGAACCCTTGAGTTTCGAAAAGCAAAGGCGATGAGTTACCGAAGGATCTGCTTGATCAGACGGAGTCAGAGCCGTCGAAATCGAATCGTCTCCATTGGCAGTGCGAGCTTCGTCATCAGATACGCTTTCAATGGGGACGACGACGCCCGCCGAAGAAGCATTTTCAGATTCGGAGTCGTCGTCGCCATTGAGCTGGAAATCTGCAGTCTTCGAAGGCTGTTCGACCGAGTCTTTCTTCCTCAGTCTCTGCCTCTTATTCACGCAATAGCAACTTCACAAGTTTGAAATTGAATCAAAATCATCATCAATCACTTGATCAAGCAGATTGAACTTTGAGAATTTGATCAATAAACGAGCTCAGAGAGAAGGGAGAGAAAGAGAGGAGGGAGGGAGAGAGAGAGAGAGAGAGAGAGAGAGAGGGACCTGAGATTGCGGTGCCGGAGCTTGTAGGAAGAAGCGGGAGAGCAGTGAAATGAAAAGCGGGAGCTCGAATTTGAGCAGTGCCTGGAGGCGGAGTTGGAGCCGCTAATGGTGAGCCCCTGAGTTACGAACCAGGTCGTTAGCCTGACCGCCATTGATGATCAACTCAAGCTTTCTCTCTCCTCTTTCCGTGGAGAGAGAGACGAAGGAGTGATTTCTTTGGCACAATGAGTACTAGTTGGATTTACTATTATCTCTTTCTTCTCATCGTACGACTCGCGGTGTGTCCAAGCAGAAGCAATCTCCGGTCCAAGGAAGGTATATTCGAATCCTCTCCCCTTTTTATTTTGTTAATTTTTTATTTCATTTTTCACGGATTCATTTTTTAGACCGTTCTTTGCGTTCGATTAGTCACGCTGATAAATTACTCAATAATAATTAAAAATTATTAAAATACATATGTGAGTGTTTCTCATTTTAAAAGGTAAATTAACGTACCAAAACCGCTCATTAATTTTCTATTAATTTGTTACGAGATATCTCATATTTTAAAAAATAAAAGAAAATAAAAAATTGAATTGGATTAGTGAGCAATATTGAGGAGGTGAGGTGTAGAATGTAGATGCAGAGTTGGGCGCATCACGCTCTTATCCAAATCGAATGGTGATGGGTGTGGGTCATGGGAGAGAGATCATCTCCGGATTCGTTCCATTAAATCTTGTCAATCAATTAATTTGAGTTTTTGAAATTTGTTCTAACAGCTAAAAACAAGGAGTTCCTTTAAAAGTTACAATAATTTTAGTCGTTGAATCAAATTTTAAGAGTCTGAATTTGTTGATTGATAAGATTGGTGAAAGAGATTCCGAGAAAATCCCTTTTCATAGGCAAGATCCTTATTGGGTGGCCCTTCCACAAAATTTGGAACTTAGGTCACATTACATCAGTTCCACTCGTGGGGACATTAATTGTCATCAATATTACCTTAATGGTTTGAACTTGTGAAATTGCACACATTAATTGTTACAATTAATTATTGTCATCGTTGTTACCTTTTGGGGCTGAAAGTTATTAGTTAATTAACTATTTGTCTTTTGCATTTTTACTGATTGGGCTTTGGCTATTCTTATTTTGTTGGGCTAATTTAATGTACTTGTACTGGATTTTTCTCTTTCAATGAAACTGCTTACTTTGTTTTCGACCAAAAAAAAAGAAATATTTCTCAACATTGCCACATTTTGTGACTCTAGGATTTGGGTGCTGGGGATTCAGATAAATATCCATTGGTTTTGCTCCAGGGCGAAAGTCTGGAAAGAAAATGAGAGAGTGACGGGATGTAAAGAGTAACCAACTATCTATGAACTAATCAATAATCAAACGAGACTGAATCTAAATAAGTGAATGAACGAGTCAGGGGTTTGTAAAGAGCAAAGGACTATAAAAAAAACACTACCCATAATAGGAGTCTTGGCTAGTTTGAGCTGAAAGACGAGTCGAAGAAGTCAAAAGAGCAGGAAGAGGCATGATAGCCATCAACCGGAAGCAGTGCAGAAAGAAGCGGGGGGAGGCAGAACCCAAGTTAGGAAAAAGACGGGGTGGTATGAAAATGTTAACGAAGAATTGACGAAATTATTCATTATGGGTTTGAATTTTAACGGACTTTACTACAAATATTTACGCTTGAATTTTTTCTCTATGGTATTAACTTCCGATTATCCTATAACAACGGAGACCATTAAAAGCCATTATTTTATGACATACGATAGTTAGGAATTGGAGTTCCTTGTGGTTCAATGCAACTTAATATTTTTCCGGAGAATAAAAGTCACCTGTAAAATCGCGATTTATGGAACTTGGAAGCAACGTTTTGTAAAGCCAAGGAATTTATTATTTCTAAATAGATAAATAAATATCTTTGCAAAAATTCATGGTGCTGTGATCAGACACCGACACTCCTGATGAACAAAGCCACCAATTTGTTCAGGAACCCATCTGTTTCTCTGCGCCTCAGCTCCTCCTTCTCGCACTCCGCCGCCCTGTCGCCTACTCAGCCGCCGCACGACCTCGCCGCCTGCATAGCCTCCCTTCAAGCATGCGCCCGCCGCCAGAATCTCAGAAAAGGCAAGCAAGTCCACTCATTTATGCTCGCCAATGGCTTCCTCCGTTCCCCTCTCTCCACCACCAGCCTCATCAACATGTACTCCAAGTGCAACCAGATGGACGACGCCGTTTCGACTTTCAATTATCAGTCTTTTGACCACAATGTGTTTGCTTACAATGCTGTCATTGCTGGGTTTATAGCAAACGGGTTGGGTAGGGATGGGTTCGAGTTTTATAGAAGAATGCGGTTTGCCGGTGTTCTGCCGGATAAGTTTACGTTTCCGTGTGTGATTAGGGGTTGCAGTGGGGTTTTGGAGTTGAGGAAGATTCATGGGTTGGTGGTGAAATTTGGGTTGGAGTTGGATGTGTATGTTGGCAGTGCTCTGGTGAATACGTATTTGAAATTTGGGTTGATGGAGGAGGCACAGGAAGTGTTTGACGAATTGCCTGTTAGAGATGTTGTGCTTTGGAATGCGATGGTTAATGGGTTTGCGCAGATTGGGCGGCTTGAGGAGGCTTTGGCGGTGTTTAGGATGATGGGTGAGGAAGGGGTTGTGCCGAGTAGGTTTACCGTGACTGGGGTCTTGTCGGTTTTCGCTGTGATGGGTGGTTTTAACAATGGGAGAGCGGTGCATGGGTTTGCGACGAAAATGGGGTATGATTCAGGTGTTGAGGTTTTGAATGCGTTGATCGACATGTATGGGAAATGCAAGTGTGTTGGAGACGCCTTGAAGATTTTTGAGATGATGGTTGAGAAGGATATATATTCTTGGAACTCAATTATTGCGGTGCATGAGCAATGCGGTGATCACGATGGGACTCTGAGGCTTTTTGATAGAATGTTAAGGGCTGGAGTTCTTCCTGATTTGGTAACCATCACGACGGTCCTTCCAGTGTGCGCTCATCTGGCAGCATTGATGCATGGTAGAGAAATTCATGGATATATGATTAAAAATGGGTTGGAGAGGGATGTGAATGTTGACGACGTGCAAATCACCAATGCAGTCATGGACATGTATGCAAAATGTGGGAGCATGAGAAATGCTTATATGGTTTTCGATAAGATGAGGAATAAGGATGTTGCATCCTGGAACATCATGATCATGGGTTATGGCATGCACGGATATGGCAGCAGGGCATTGGATGTGTTCTCTGATATGTTTGAGGCACAAATTAGGCTTGATGAGGTTACATTTGTTGGGGTTTTGTCTGCGTGCAGCCATACAGGTTTAGTCAGAGAAGGGCGTGAATTCTTGAGACAAATGAAGTCGAAGTATGGCGTGGTTCCAACCATCGAGCATTATACTTGTGTGGTTGACATGCTTGGTCGAGCTGGGCATCTGGAGGAGGCTTATGAACTGGTGCTAGAAATGCCTATCGAGACCAATCCTGTGCTGTGGAGGGCATTGCTAGCAGCATGTCGACTCCATGGGAACCAGGATCTCGCAGAGGTCGCTGGGCAGAAGGTGATTGAACTTGATCCAGGGCACTCTGGTAATTATGTGCTGATGTCCAATCTTTATGTAGCGAATGGTCAATATGATGAGGTAACAGAAGTTAGACATTCAATGAGCCAACAGAATGTGAAGAAGACACCGGGCTGTAGCTGGATTGAGCTGAAGGATGGTGTGCATGCTTTTATTACTGGTGATAGAGCCCATCCTAAAGCTAACTTTATTTATGCCGAATTAGACTCATTGACTGCTCGTCTTGGTGAGATCGGATGTGTGCCTCATTTCTAGAACTTGATTTGTACTGAAGTCCAGCATGGTGGTTCTCGATGGATATTTTCCCCATCTTCCCCGCAATACGCAGAAAACAAAACAAACAGGACAATTGACAACAGGAGTTACACCGGAGAGTGAAGAATCCATTTTTACTTGCATTTTTGGCCGAAATGATCTTGATCTGCTCTTACTTTGGGTGCAAGGTTGATCGCTGAACCGCAGAAGGGAATAATAGCTTGCTACACTTGTGAAGAGACGGAAATTGAAGAAGAGACATAAGAGAAACCAAAACTTATTTCGATGCTCTCATTTGGGGTGCTCTGAAACGCTATGCTGTGTTAGTCAGGATCGCTGAATGCTACTCGACCGTAGATCTGAAACACGAAATGGCTTGTGACTGTTTCGGCTCTGGGCAATGTTTAATCAGTGTTTGAAGAAAGCTGCATCACTCTCAGGACTTGACAAGCAATTCTTCAGAACATTATGCAAAACAAACAAATTTTGAGCCATGAACAGTTTTTACAATGCAACATATTTGTTTCTTTTTCCATTTTTTCTTTTAGAAAGAGCAAAGGCACTTTGCGAGGGTCGGGAGATATCTATTGTACGTAGCCTTACTTTTGTTTTGCAAAGAAGTTTTCATGATTCAAATCTGTGACCTTTCGGTTGCAAAAGAGTAGCATTTTCATTGCTCCAACTCGTCCCCTCCTTTTAAAAAAGATGCTAGCAATCGGCACACACGCTTCACCCATTCAAAGTAAATTTATTTTTTAATTTATTATGACTTATCATTAATGAGCACAGATCACAACTCAAAAAAGAAACAGAGATTAAAAAGAGAAGAGAAAAGGTAGGAGAACGTGGAGAATGTAGAGAGAGGAAGAAGAGGAGAAAAGCAGGGTATATTTATTTTTTAATATTTAAATAAGATATGTTATATTTACATGGTTGTGATGTTAGTATAGAAAAGAGTAAAATTTGTGTTAGATGTAATTACTAAGTTGTCCACGTTTTTCATTTTTGTTTAGTTCAGTGAAGAAGATTAGAATGGTAATTTGCTAGAGTTTTGATTGATAAACAAGTTTTATTAATATGTTTTGTAGTTAGTTAGAATAAAGGGAAAAAAAATGAAAACTAAAAACAATGGCTTGTAAATTATGAATTTTAACGAAAATGATAAAATAAAGAGTAAAATAAATAATACTAAAATTGAAAATTTTAATTTAAAAATATAATTTTTCGTTAAAATAAACATTATCTTGAATTTTTCATTAAAATTTTCAAAAAAACAAAAAAAAATTCCCGGAAATAAACCGAAAATTCCCTTTTGTTTCTTCGATCACTTCATCTGAGAGTCGTTCCGTATTTTCCCTTAAAAGTCCTCGCCTTTGACGGAAAGCGAAAGCCTTTCGATTCCCCAAAACATGGGCTGCGCCGTCGCAATCACTCTTGTAATCGCCGCCGCAACGCTGATCGTCACTCGGTTCCTCTACGTCCTGCACCGAACTGGCAAACCCCACAAACCCCGCAAACCCAGCAGTTCGAAAGGCTCAGCTCCCCAACCCCTCAGCACCCTAATCGTATTGGGCTCCGGAGGCCACACCGCCGAGATGATCAACCTGTTGTCCGTCCTTCAAAGAGACAGATTTGCCCCCAGGTTCTACATCGCCGCGGCCACTGACAACATGAGTCTCCAGAAAGCTCGACTGCTCGAAGAGAACGCCGATGAGAGTTCGAGCTCGCAGTTCATGCAGATCTACCGGAGCAGGGAAGTGGGTCAGTCTTATTTCACCTCTGTTTTGACTACTTTGATTGCTTTGGCTCATGGGCTCTGGCTAATGATCAGAATCCGACCCCAAGTGGTAATTCTTTCGCCTTTTCAGATGTTCGCTATTTCGCATTTTCGCAATTTGTTTCTGTTGATATGAGACATTGGAGATCAAGTTGTTGATGATCAATGCTGTTGGTGTTGCAGATTCTGTGCAATGGGCCTGGGACTTGTGTTCCACTTTGTGTAATTGCATTCTTATTCAAGGTTTGGATTGATCCTTTTGATGTTCTTTTCTCATATTTCTTTTTTGGGTCGTTGCGGTTTTCTGCTGTTATGAATTTCGGGACCTTTTCGATTAGTGAGGTGATATCGGAAATGTGCAGGTTGTGGGGATTAGATGGTCGTCTGTGTTTTATGTTGAGAGTATAGCAAGAGTGCAGAGGCTCTCCCTGAGCGGCTTGCTTCTTTACAAGTTACGGATAGCCGACCAGTTCTTTGTCCAATGGCCCCAGTTACAGAAGAAGTATCCCAGAGCTCACTATGTCGGTTGTCTCATGTAGTTGATCCGATTCTGCTGCTGCTATACGTGCTCTAACTTCCAGGTTTTCTCAATGTAATGTGCACTTCTCAAGTTTTTTTTTAAACCTCTACAGTTATTTTAAATACAACTATAGTTGCCAGCATTTTTAACTTCTTACTAATTGAAGAAGAAACTGATATCATTGTGCTACGAGGATTGTGTAAAGATCGTTACGATATTTATAATCTTTCTTAGGGAATACTTGAAATCAAAAGTTATACATAACTGGCTTCAACTTGTAACCTCATATAATTTAACGCATCATTATTTCTTTACCTTTTAGGCTCTGCAGTCTTCCCTTTTCTAGTTCACACTTCCACGTGATGATGTTCTGCATATATTTGGCACTCATAATGTTTCAAAATGTTGACGATTTGAACTTTTCTGTACATACTGAAGGCATAGCTCTAAACCGGCATGTCATTGATAAAGTCGGTTTGGTTATGTCTAATGTACATACCGTTTTTGACATTCAAACTTGAAGGATTAGTTTTAGTTGACAAAACTTATGTGCAGCAAAAAGACTCCGGTAACTACTGCAGACAACAAAGAAACTGATGATAGCGTATAGATGGTGATACGCACCCATCGTGTAAAATCTCCGGGCTGAGAAGTTGTTGCTTGGTGGGGGTTTTTCTTAAACTCATGTGCATTGTCTTCTTCAGCTTCTTCAACTGGTATGAAACACATATTTGGATTACCATGGAGGTGGCTTCATCTATGATTTAGTTCATCAATAAACTCTCAATTTTTTCTCTATAGCATATGAATATAAACGATCTGTCAAACTATTCGGTGTTTTTTCTTCATTCCTTCATTGCAAATGTGCGCTATAATTCTACTGCTAGATAATTAACAAGTATAAAGGGAAAAAACCGTCGAAACAATTTTCGGAATTTATGCAGAAGAACCATATAAAAACATGAAAAACCAGAAAATCTGTGTACATATGGAAATCTAACTTACCTACGATGTGCGGTTGCATATCTTGAGCCGTTCCCATGTCAGAAGTGTAATCTTAAACTGATATACCAGAGAGAGAGAGAGAGAGAGAGAGAGAGAGAGAGAGAGAGAGAAGGAAGAGGAGGCAGAAGAAGAAGCAGAGCTCTTGAGTAATATGGAAAACCTGAAATTCTTGCAGGTGATGGAGGTATCACTGTCAAGACGTTACAACACCGTTTTAAACATGTTTTGGAAAACATATAGGCTGCATCAACAAGCATCAGCCAGTACATATAGCTACTGGTATGATTTAAAATATGTTTCAGGCCGTTCGAAACAAGATTCAAGTGAAAGCAACAGCCTTTCATCAGGACAATTGGTAAGCTTGTAATTCTATTCTTTTGCATGAAAGCAGAGATTGATCTACAAAACAGACCTCTCTAATTCATCATTTCCGGCGTTTCTATTCTCCGTCTTGGACTTACGATCTTCGATGTAGTGATGATACGCGTACGAAACAAATCCCCAAATACCCAAAACCATGGCTATTCCCTTGATTCCATTCATTTTATCATGGAAGAAGATCACAGCTAGAACTGGAACGGCGGGCAAACCCAAAGCACTTATGGAGTTGGAGAAGAGGGAAGAGGCCTCCAAAATCAAGCCTACTGCTCCAACAGAAAAGACCTGCCATGTTATTGCTGTCCATGTCAAATTCATCACATAGGATACCTTCCCTAGTTTATACCCCTCCAACTCACCCTTCAAATGCTTCCACTCTCCGCTAGCGAAAAGTCCGACCACGGTAAAACAGGTTGCAACCATATTTGGATACACTATCATGCCCACGAGCTCTCTAAACGTCTCCCTTTTTATAACCCTTTTGAAGGCAAGCTGAGTTAGGGAGAGCGTTAATCCGTATCCGGCAGATGCCCCTAAAGTGCATAGGAACCCGATTGCATACTTGACCTTCGACCCTCCCCTTCGATCATCGCCTCCAGAGTCGTCTTCACCTTGGAATGCGAGGAGGGTGGAGGAGATGGTGAGGAGAACTAGAGAATTCACAATGTAAGCAGTGAACTTTTGCGCGTTGAGGAAGAATGAGAACAATGCGTTGAAGGCCAACTGAGATGCACAAATGAGGGAATAAGTAGACACAGGAAGGTAAGATAGTCCTACAGAATACAGGTAGCAGTCTAGGGCTATCAGTAAGCCAAGAGAGACATATACTGATGCGAGGACTTTGGTAGACGGTGGTTTTGATGGGATAGGACTACCTTTTGGGGTTGGATTATTTCTGCTTGCTGGGATAAAATAGTAGGGAAGCATGATAGGGAAGCCACAAAGTTGTACTACTGTCGCCAGCCAATTGCTTTTGGCGCCTTTGTCGTAGTACTGTTTCCCCAAGAACGTTGCAACTGACTGGCCGGCAATGACGAGGAACGAGTAAATGGCGATTCTAATCCACCAGTTGACGCCTCTGCGCCGCGGTAGCAGTGATCGGTCCGAGGCATCTGGAGGCCCTGATAAATTTGTTTCATCTTCTCCATTTGCTTCCTTAACTATAACAACATATATTTACAAGGATCAGTATTAAGCTTAGGATAATAACAAGGTTGGGATTTTGTAGAATTCTACCCCCAAAACCACCCCCAACTTGTAACTTTTATGACTCGCGTAAGTTGTAATAAGAACATAATTCACTTCTCGTAATTTGATTCACTTAACATGTATCAATCAAAAGTTTTAAATAGACCGGCTCGTAGAACAACTGAATATGCGGTCAAGAATTCCGGTACATACTAGATAAGCTTTAAATCAGTTGCTATATATACTCAGAAAAGATCACATAGAATAGAAGTAGACTTACCCCGGATGCTGAGCTGAAGTTCTTGAGCTTCTCCCATGTCAAAGATGAAAAAACTCACAAACAATGGAGGGGGGAGAGAGAGAGAGAGAGGGGGGGTCCTTGTTTCAGCTCACATAAATTATGTAAATGAAATGCATGCTGGCTACGACTCTTGTAATTTGTATTATTGTTGCTTTTTTTATATTTTTTTTTGTATCCTCAGAAACGGCAAGCTACAGACAAGGACATCACATTCATGAAAAATAGATACGGACCAAATTGGATCACTCAACCTTGTCTGATATATGAATCTACCTGTTTTCAGGCGGCTGAGATTATTGTAAAAACTCTATGTCGACGCTTCATTTTCTGGCTACGTGTGTGTATATTTGAGCACAAGAACTTCAACTCCTTTAAGATAAGTAGGATATCGGTGGTCTAAAGTTTTCAATCTCGAAGATACAGTAATTAGCGTTTACATACTTGAAATGAAGTGAAATATATATTCTCCTTTTGAAAGCTCTATAAGAATAGCAATCGAGATTTTTTGCAAATCTCTATGTTCAGAGTTTATGGATTTAGAAATCTAGATCACTAATGAGAGAAATAAATCTGAACCCTTATTTTGTATGAGATAGACTGATAAAATGAACTAATAAGGATCATATGATCTAAATTGAACGATACGATCTCTAAATACGTAACACAAAAATACGGTGAGGATCTTAATTAAGAATAGAAACCTCCAAATTTGGTCTTTTGTAGAAGTCGACTAGTAGACTAGTAGTTGATCATGTTCTGAGCTTCACTTTACCAAATCAAGAAAAATCACTCATTAAATTCCAAAACAGCAGCTTCTCGCTCAAATCCTGCTTACTGCAACAAATAAAAAATCACAAAAGAAAGCTGCCAATCTTTGCTTCCAGCAAAGCTGCAATTTTTTTACGTTATATATTGGAGAAATTCAACCCTAATCATAATTTATCTTAATTCAAACAAAATTTCATAAAATATGCGTACCGACCCCGTTATTCCTCAATATTTATTTATTTTCATTCGACTGCAAAATAACTTTTGATTCAGAATAATAATAAATAAATAAACAAACAAGTTTTGATATTCATTATATCATGCAGTGTCAGTGACAAGTCAAGGTCGACCCTTATCTTCTTTCTATTAAAAATTCAACAAAGATAGGTACAATTATTTGTAGTCATGGGTCCATTACTTACTAGTTCATCAGCTGCTAGCTAACTACCTTCACACAAGATTATAATTATATGTATCATAGACCTTAAAACAGTAGTAGGTTAGTTTAAGTAAGTTTGACTAGTCTTGCAACCATACAACAATATACGACAAACATTACATACTTAATTTTTTTTTTATTAAATAAAATATATTTGTTCAGGTATTGAATTATTCGATGTTAAACTTGATATGTGCAAAAATGTTGAAAATATTGGCAATGTTGAATGCAGCATTGAAAACACTGGTAGTGTTATGAATGCCCACACAAATTTTCAATGTCCACACAAAGTGATATGGACTTGGGAGATGAAGGAGGATCGTACTTTCAAATATGTGTATTGTAAATTTCAAAATGTTTGTTTGGAGTTGTTCTATAAATAGAGCACTCCGACTACCATCAAGATACAGAGTAAGAAAGAAAAGATCAATAACATCAGTATCTATTCCTACCTCTTTTATTTGTCATCCTCTTGTGCTATAGTTACAGTTTAATATTTTACACCTGCTTCGCTCCTGTCACTACTAAAGGTTATCTCTCTAACTTTTACCTATTTATAACAAAAAATAAAATCTCTTCAACTATTTCCATTTGTGTTCTCACCTCTTGGACTTTTGGGTCATCAAGGTAGTGCTAATAAACACATGAAACAAATCCCCGAATGGCCAAGTGGATTGGAGAGGAGATGGACCAATGGAAGTTTAAAGGATGCCGCGGGGATTTGCATATTTAGCGCCCAAGGTCATTTAGGCTTCCAAAACTGCGTTTTAAGTCCTGTAATAAAAATCAAACTTTTTGTTTGTCGTCCAATCACTGTTCTAAAAATCTCCCCCTAGAGTCGCCTAGACGCTAGGTAGTTGGCCATCGCCCCGATTAATACCTAGGCGTTTAAAAATTAAGAAATGATGCTTAAACCTACTGAGGTGCCCGCCTAGGCATCCGCTTACCCGCTCAAACCTGCCTAGGCACCCGCTTAGGTTGCAACTCACTTAGACAAAAAATAGATAACTTTCATTTTAAATTTATTTTTTTCAATAAATTATAAGAGACTTGTTGAATACTTAAATGAACACATTATAGGCTTGTTCCCCATGTTTTCATTATGTTCCAATACTTCATAATATATATGTCAATCTATTTTGTAGTTTATGATGAAATTATATATATTTTAAGTATAAACAGACACTTATTTACACAAAATATAATAGATTTACTTAAATCCGCCTAGTCCGCCTTGGCGCCCACCTAGCCGTCTAAGCGCGAGGCCCCAGCCCGCCACCCGACTAGCGCCTAGCGTCTTTTAAATCCTTGCGTCCGATTAATGTCGTTTTGCTTTCATTTAATTTTCTAAGGCCTCTGAATTACCCTAGGGTGTTGTAATCAGGTTATTTAAGCCATTGGCTGACTAATATTGTAATCATCTTGAATCATTAATCAAACAAAATCCTTTGGAATTTTTCCCAAAATCTGATGGGCTCTAGAATTCATTCTTCGAGGGCTTTCGTTGGTATCCTTATTAGCTTCATGCTGCGTCACCATTGCCTTAATCCCATCCATTTTGCCATGGAAGATAATCACAGCAAACACACAACATTTATGGCATTGGAGAAGAGAGGCTATGCCTAAAAAATCAATCCCACCATACCAACACCAAAGAGTTGACATGTTGTAGCTGACCGTATCAAGTTCATGACATAGGATACCTTCCCTAATTCGTAC